GTGTGGAAAAATCATAGACTCACAGAAAAGTGAAGATGGAAGGGGCCTCTAAGGCCATGGAGCCCAACCCCCTGCTCAGTGCAGGAATCTAAATCAAAGCGTATCTGCCAGGTGATGATCAAAATTTCTCTTGAATGTCTCCAGGGTTGGAGCATTCGCCAACTCCCCAGGTCAATGGTTCCACTGTCGTACTGCTCTAACAGTTAGGAAGTTTTTCCTGATATTCAACCGAAATCTGGCTTCCTGTTGCTTGAGCTCATGATGACATGTCCTGCGCTCTGGGATGATGGAGAACAGATCCTGCCCCTCCTCTGGACGACAGCTCTTCAAATATTTGAAGCCTTGAGTCTTCTTTTCTCAAGTCTAAACATGCCCAAAGGCTTGAAAGCGAAAGTGTTTTCAAAACTGAAGCTTGAAGGATAGAAAGTTATTGCAAAACAAATAGCCAGCTCTCCAGTGAAGCAAGGTCGGGGCACAATAACACTCCTGGCTGTTAAACTTGTTTTACAAAATGTCAACAAAGTGTAAAGAAAGGATGCAGGACTGATCGCTTACACTCTCTGGTCTTCCAAGATTCTGGTGCACCAAAAGCTTTAAAGGTGCAAGCCTTAATTCCTCCAGGCTTTGCAAGATAAGGATGTTTTAACATCAAGGGGCAGCCTGCCAGATTCTGAGTTGCAGGCCCCTGGAGCTGTACACAAAGTGCAGAGAATTTCATATTAATTTTTTTTCATTGCTCTACCAGGCCCCTAGACCTGCAGGAAGGACTGCTGATAGTCAATGAAGGAAAAAAAAGACTATAAATAATGACTAAAGAAGCCATGGTAGGAACAGCAACATCCAACACATTGTTATGATACTCCACAATACGGCGCATGCACCAGATTCCAACAACAATCTGCATGGATTTCCCTCCACCGATGCAAACTAGCACAAAGTGGCTTGGCTGGCGGAGAACATTACTTAATACCGTAATTTTCATAGGTGTCTAGATATGCTAAAAGGCTAAATAATACATTTTATTTTCATTATAAAATGACCCTTGGTTCCTTTTTAAGGAGAAAGATGGGGTAAAAATATTTTAAATAAATACACGTAATAGATTTTTAATTTTAACAACTGATATTTTTAGACATGTATTCTCTGCCTTTCGTTTTTTTAAAATGTGCCTTTTCAGGCTATAAACACTTGAATTTTTAGAATGCAACTAAAACATCATTTTTGGCATTTTACTGTCCTTTTTTTATGCTCCCATCCCATGGATTGAATTCTGACTTAAGTATTTGCTTGCTGCTTTTTAAAACTTTTCCCCAAATTGTTTTTAATCCTGACCAATCTTTAATGGTTTTTTAATATAGAGTTTTATCGGGCATTTTTAACTTGTTATTACGGTTTTATGTTTAATTGTTGTGAGCCAGCTGCCTTGGGTACCCCTATGGGGGAAAAGCTAGCATATTAAATGAATAAGTAAGTTTTTCATATATTTTAAAGCATTTTTGCTTTTAAATTTTCAAAGCTGTAAGACTTTCAGATGTTTTACAACAATGCTGATTCATTTTTGTGCTTAGGGAACAAAGAAGCCATATAGGTTTTAAAAAACTTGTAGAATTAGGAGAAGCTGGTGTTGCCTGAGTTTATTGCAGCCATGAAATATTTTCTGGTTTAATTCTGGAATTAACCCTTAAATAGGATAAGTGCCAGCTGCGATGAACACAGGCTTCTGATATTTCCCCTAGAGGTTTATAAAGACCCACAGAGCTCTTAGGGAGACGCTCATGCGCTCGAATCCCTGGCCTGCCAGGAGTAGCACCATGAGAACTTTTCCTGCACCCTGAGGTTTTCGACAGTCACTCCCTGGTTCACTAACATCCTCTTTGAGGACAACGCGGTGCATCAGCTGGCAGTCAACAACTGCAAGCGTGTCTGGATGAAGCCCATTTCCTAAACCACGCCAATCGGGCCTCAGCCGGATGGGAGCACCCGGAGATCAGTCACTCTCGTGGCCGACTTGTTCCAGTCAAACAGGGAAAGAGAATGAGAGAGATCTGAAATGCAAACATGAGGATTTGCCCAGAACCCTGGAGGTTGGCCATGGCTAGAGTTGGGGACACAGCAAGACAAGGGTCGACCCTTCCTAAAGAATCACCTCCTGACAGCAGCCCTTCTCAGTCCCCGGGATATTTAAGCTTGAGAAGGTCATAAAAGAGGCTCATTGCCCCTCATTGCTCTTTGATGCTGATGTGAAGCTGCTAGAGAGTCGGCTTGGGAATGCAGGGAGGGGGGCCTGCCTGCAGGGAGATGATATTTGGTCCTGTTCTTTCCCTGGAATCAGTGGGAGGTAGAAAAGGCAGGCAGGTCCTTTTCTTGGTCTGCAGGTTGTGGCCGAGTACACTCCTGGACTGAAGTGAGTCTTGGACCCTTTGTGCACAGCAGGAGAGGAAGCTGAACACCTTCCCTATGCGTTGCCTCCGACGGATTTTTGGTATCACCTGGCAAGACAAAGTTCCAAACAGAGTAGTCCTGGAATGAGCTGGAATTTTTTATCATGTACATATATATTACTGAAACAGTGACATCTACATTGGCTTGGGCATGTCGTGAGAATGGCTGATGGTCGGATTCCAAAAGATCTCCTGGATGGAGAATTAGTGCAGGGAAATCGCCCCAGAGGGAGACCACAGCTGCGATCCAAGGACATCTGCAAGCGGGATCTGAAGGCCTTAGGAATGGATTTTCTCAACAGATGGGAAACCTGGACCTCTGAGCGTTAAACCTGGAGGCAGGCGGTGCATCAGGGTCTCTCCCAATTTGAAGAGACCCTTGTCCAGCAGGCCAAGGCAAAGAGGCAGTCCCGAAACCAGCAAAATCAGGGAGCTGGACAGGGGACAGACTGTATTTGTCTCCAGGGCAGAAGGGATGGTCACTCTCAAATTGGCCTTCTCAGCCACACTAGACTCTGTTCCAAGTCCTCCATTCAGAGCACGTGACCATCGTCTTTCGAGACTGAACGATGCCTACACAGGTTGTGGATCCACAGAGTGACAAATGTAGGCTAGCCCACCTTCATCTCATCTCTAGCCATCGATGCAAAAACGTGGGATGAGGGAGCAAGTCAGCTTTGATTGAAAGCCAGCAATATAGCCCTGCAACTAGTTTTCCAAACTCAAAATAGAAATGAGAAAGAATTAGCAGAACACTAACAAGCAAATATCCACAAGAACGTTCACAGTTCTGGAACAAATCTGGATTCAGCCAAAGGTCAGAAGACGCTTATTTATGCGAGCAAAATGAGTTACCCAACCAAACGACCGCAAGTACGGAACATAACCACAAAGCGAGCAATACAGTACAAAGGCAGAGCAACTCCCGAGCGCCTGGAACTGAACTTTCCTGCCAAGAAAGCGTATTCCTTCTTACCAGCCAATCCAAAGTTTCCACGTGCTTCCCGCAGACCAAAACACAAAGCCAGCACGTGCCCCCGCAGGCGGCCGGAGCATGAACAGCTCCACAGTCAACACAACTGCTCAGAGCAGGAAGCGCGGAGGGCTCCAGCTGCTTCCTCGGCCCCACAGACAGGAACATGAAGGGCTTGCTTCTTGAAACAGGAAGAGAAAGTTTCTTAGAAGAAAACTGCTTCTACTTGCAGCCGAACGACTCGGAGAAGGGGGGCCCTCGGAGGACTTCACAAACACTTTCACGGCTGACAATTTAACTGGAAAGCGCTCCTAAATGAACGTCTTAAGACATTCACAATCCCAGCAAAGGGGAAGTAATTAAAAACATAAACGAGAGGCTCTATTTATATACAGCAGGGCACCTACTATAACAGCAGAATGTGTGATTTTGTGTATCTAAGAGAGAGAAAACTCTCTGCAAGGCTCTGAAAAAAGCAATCAATGGGAACGGAAAGATCACTCAAGTGAGAGATGCAACAGATCGCACTGAACACAAGCACCTTCTGAACATCAACCAGGCAACTCCAACGTTCCCTTGCCTGGATGTGTCCTAAGCGTCCACCCAGCCAGCCCAGACCACGGCAGGTTTTTTCCCTTGTTTTTCTCTAGCCCCACCAACCTTTCCTATCCTCCTGTCCTTTTGGGTTGTGCCTTTTCGAAGACGTAAGCCCGAGGCCACCGCCTTGTTTGTTCGTGATCTTCTGCAACCTACCTCCAAACCTTTGCCTCTGAGGAGTGGCAGACAAATGCTTTAAACAAACAAAATACAGTGGTGCCCCACATAACGAGCGATTCGTTTAACGACGAATCTGCATAGCGATGGTTTTTTAAATGGGTAAACATCACTTCTGAACGGTGAGTTTGGGCTCCATAGGAACCCAATGCTTTTTCCGTTCCGTTTAGCGATGTTTCCTCATAGCGACGATTAATCCGGAACGGATTAACGTCGCTATGCGGGGCACCACTGTATATGGCCCACAGACATCACTGTGTGAATAACGACTTCTCGCCTGTACTGTGGATGGGTTTAGTAGCAAAAAATTGAAACAGTCGGTTTATACAAGGTTAGCAAGAGGACTTCATGGAGAAGCAGCCCGTGTTTTAATGCGTTCCTATGGGCTTTTTTGCCCCGCATAGTGACGAATCCGTATAGCAATGATTTTTGTGGAATGGATTATCGTCGCTATGCGGGGCACCACTGTATATGGCCCACAGATGCCACTGTGTGAATAATGACTTCTCGCCTGTACTGTGGAAGGGTTTAGTACCAAAAACTGAAACGGTCGGTTTATACAACAAGGTTGGCGAGAGGATTTCGTGGAGAAGCATCTCACCTGGGTCGACTGGATCACGGTCAGGTCATTGATGCGACAGAAGCCAGCACCCATGGCGGAGCGCAGCCCGGCCGTCCCGAAGGTAAGCCTGCGGCACAGACGGTCCCGGAGCTCCTTGTTCCTTCCATTTTGTAGAAGGTCTTCGATTTGCCCTCTCGTTTTAGGATTCTGTAAAGAAAGCAAACGACATGTTTATGGAGAAGCAGCCCACCTGGGTCGACTGGATCACGGTCAGGTCATTGATGCGACAGAAGCCAGCACCCATGGCGGAGCGCAGCCCGGCCGTCCCGAAGGTAAGCCTGCGGCACAGACGATCCCGGAGCTCCTTGTTCCTTCCATTTCGTAGGAGGTCTTCGATTTGACCTCTTGTTTTAGGATTCTGCAAACAAAGCAAACGACATGATTAAGCGGCATAAAGATCAAAATCAGGGCTGGGCAGCCACAAGCCGATGCCTCCCTTCTAGTGAGCCTGTGACCAAACAGAGAGGGATTAGCTCCTATTCCAGAAGACAGCATCGGGAGTCAAGACGGCTTAAACCCATTGAAGGAACTGGGGAAAAACAGAGCTTCTATGGGGAAAATTTTAAAGCTCTGCATTTAGGCAGAAGGAACCAGAGGTAGAAATATAAGACAGGGGATGGCTGGCTTGACAAGAGCACAAGGGAAAAGAATCTAGGAATCTAGGACCAAAGCTTTAATTCGAGTTAACAGGGTAATGTGGTAGCAAAAGGAGGGGGGGTTCCAATGAAATACTGGGTTGCATCATCAGAGAACAGTGTCCGGATCCACTAGTACCTCTTTTTTAGTCAAACCTCACCTGAAATACTGTGCCCAGTTCTGATTACCACAATTTAAGAAGGATATTGATCAGGTCCAGAGGAGGACAAGCAGAATGGACAATCAGGAAACCAAGCCCTATGAGGAGTGGCGTAGGGAGAGGGACGTATTCAGCTTAAATAGTTAACAGGGTAATGTGGTAGCAAAAGGAGGGGGGGGTCCAATGAAATACTGGGTTGCATCATTACAGAACAGTGTCCGGATCCACTAGCACCTCTTTTTCAGTCAAACCTCACCTGAAATACTGTGCCCAGTTCTGGGTACCACAATTTAAGAAGGATACTGATCAGCAGGAATAGGTCCAGAGGAGGGCAACCAGAATGGACGATCAGGAAACCAAGCCCTATGAGGAGTGGCGTAGGGAGAGGGACGTATTTAACCTGGAGAAGAGAAGACTTGACAGAGGATGTGACAGCCATCTTCCAATACCTGAGAAGACTTGACAGAAGATGCGATAGCCACCTTCCAATACCTGAAGAGCAGTCAGGTGAAAGAGGGAGAAAGCTTGTTCTTTCAGCTCCAGAGGATTCTAATGGACTGAAAATATGAGCAAGGAGATTTGGTCTTAACATGAAGAAGAACATATTGACAGTAAGAGCTGTTCAGCAATGGAATGGATTGGCTCAGAGGATGATTGGAGGTGTTTAAACACAAGCTGGATGGCCACCATTTAGAGAGGCCTTAGGTATGGATGTCTTGCTTTGGCAGTGGGTGAGACTAGATGATCCCTGGGGGTCCCCTTCCAGCTCTATAGTTCTGTGCTTCCATGAAGTGCAATGTCGGGAACCTTTTTTAGATCTCTCTAGAGAACGACAAATATCCTAGTCTTGCGTCCTCCCATATGCTTTATTTAAAAAGAAACTCTTCTTTCCATTAACTTTGTGAAGAACAGTGTATGCTCTAGTAAGTTCCAAAATGATTATAAGCAGACACGTCAAATATTTCCGCAGGCCAGCTTCAATGGATATTAAACGCGAGACGTACTAAATTTCGGGGTCCCCTTCCAGCTCTATAGTTCTGTGCTTCCATGAAGTGCAATGTCGGGAACCTTTTTTAGATCTCTCTAGAGAACGACAAATATCCTAGTCTTGCATCCTCCCATATGCTTTTTTTATTTAAAAATAAACTTCTTTCCATTGACTTTGTGAAGAACAGTGAATGCTCTAGTAAGTTCCAAAATGATATAAGCAGACGCGTCAAATATTTCCGCAGGCCAGCTTCAATGGATATTAAACGCGAGACGTACTAAATTTCAGCACAGAGCTACTGGGTTGTACCTGCTTGCCATGCAGACGTTTGCTCATCCTGACCATTGTTTGATGCTAATTTTAAGTCTGTGGCTGCTGTCTACTGAGATCGGAATTAGAATCACAGAACGGTAGTATTGGAAAGTATCCCAAGAGCAATTGAGTCCAACTGTCTGCCAGTGCAGGAATCCATCGCTCCAGCGTCCCTGCCAGATGTCATCTCTCCCTTTCAAAATCTCCAAGGAAGGCAAATTCACCGCCTTCGAAGAGAGGTGGTTCCACTGCTAAATCAGCTCCCGCCCTCGGGAACCTCTTCCTAATATTTAATTGGAATCTCCTCCTTCCTTGCAATTGGAATCGGTTCAGGTCCAAGCCTTCTGAGCAACAGAAAACAAGTTTACTCCACCTCCCATGTGACAAGCCCTTAAGAAATTTGAAGACGGCTATCGTATCACCTCGGAGCCATCTTCTGCCCAAGCTAAACATACCCAATGGCCTCAGATAAATAAAGCAGGATTCAAGGTGTCTAGGAGATAACACCCCGATGTCCGTCCAGACCACAGCACGCGGGACCTGTTTTCTTTCAGAATTAATTTGGCGACAGAACCTGCCGTTTCTGAGTGTATTTTGCAAAGGAAAAAAAAAGTTAAAGCCCGAGAACCAGGAAATCAAGCAGCTACCTGTCCAATACAATAATAATAATAACAAACTTAGAACTGCAGAGCTAGAAGGAAATCAATGGATTACCGAATCCAGCCCCTGTCAAGGAGGCTGGGGGGAATCGAACTCAGCCCCTGTCAAGGAGGCTGGGGGGAATCAAACTCCCGGCTGATACCTTAAATCACTGAGCTATCTATCCAGCAGAGAAGCCCCTCGGAGCCACGGCTTTCAGACGGCAACCTCCACCATAACAATCTGCAAAAAGAAACGTTCAAACACACTGTTTGGGAGGAAAACAAGCTATGATGCAGCTTTGCCCCAAAGACACTAAAATCATGATTATTGAAGCAGGATCTTTCTGGAGGTGGTCAAACAAACACCTCAAAGCCACATCCTCTTATCCGGAAGACCTTCTCCTTCCCCTTTTATAATTCTGTGCAAAGACACCCTGTCTTTTTGTAATATTTCCACATGTTCAAAACTGAAGCCCGTTTAATTACCACACACCAAATAAACGGCCTGAACTATGGGAAAACTGAAAGCAAGGACTGAAATTACGATGCACACAGATCTGTTGGAGGAGCGCTTGAGAGGTCTATTTTTTATTTTATTTTTATTTATTTCATTTATATCCCACCTATCTGGTCAGGTCAGGACCACTCTAGGTGGCTGTCAAGGAGGCTGGGGGGACTCGAACTCCCAGCCGATGCCTTAAACCACCGAGCTATCGGAGGACCGATAAGTATGATATAAAACTAGAGACTTGAGGAATCCTTCAAGCAAACATACACCTTAAATGCTACCAACTAGCAAGGAGACCATTATAAGCTTCTGCAGGAACCTTCCTTAACCAAAGAGCAGTCAAAACACAAATGATTCCTAATAAACAAATATAATCATAAATGAAGTCCATGTCAAAACCTGGAACAATCCGACATCATCTCACTACAAACTAGAACTGTTAACACAAGATGCTGAACGCTGAGTCCCTTTTAATGTGCCTTCCAAATATAGAAGAGGAAACAACATCTTTATTTGGACCACTAAGAATCAAAAATTCAGCCTGTTGTGGGGAGTAAAATTTCATTTCAGCAGACATCGGGTAGAAAATTATACCCAAAACAGTCATGGCAGAGATCTGCCTGGCGTATCTGATTTGAGATGAGGCAAGAGCTGGTTTCAACCAGTAGGGATATCTGTGTTTTTATATGCCTCACCCCTGGTGCCACCTGGCTGGAATTCAGCTTGTGCCGAATGTTTGATTTTTAGTAGTGTCAATAAAGGTACTGACCTCTTCTACATTTGGACCACACGCCTCTGCAGTCATTAATCTCAACGGTTCTTTGATGTAATAAGTTATCCATGCCAACGAGCAAATCTAAGTCACTGGATTATCTGGAAAGTGTTATCTTGGCTCTGTTCGTTGACAAAAGATATCGGAAACCTAGGGCTCCCTCTGTCTCGCTCTCTCTGATTTATCCAAGGTTTATTTTATGTATCGAGTAGTCCTGGCTGTTAAGAAAGCTGACCTGAGAGTTTCTGAAAGAGATAAAAGATTTATTTTTATATCCTATAGCTAATACAATAGGTAAAGAACACAGAGGTTGGGGAACTGTATATTCCCCATGCATGGAGTCAACCAATGCACAACTAAACGATGCAAATGAACAGGGAGGCTGGTAACCCCCTCCCCAGCCTTTCCTCTGCCACGTTCCTGTAATTCAAATGAGACGAGATCCTTTTTCTATTTTCTTGTACAAAGATCACTCAAGGGACATGACTTGACTCACTCCGGCAAATCAAGAGAGAGCTGCCCCCGTTAGCTTGGTTTGCATCTTTAAAAAAAAATCTGTTCCAAGCTGCTTCTCTTTTTAATGCATTTTGGATTTTAGATTTCATGGAGCCGAATTATTTGGCAAAGTCCCCCGTAAAAGGAGTGGACCTCTGAGGCTCAGCATTTTACATGTGGCTTCGGAGCAGGACGGGAGGTCACGGCGCAGGAGAAATCACGCAAAACAACAGCATGTGACGAGGAATGTCAGAAAAGCTCATCCCATGTATGGAGGCGTCGCTGGAGACGAAAGCCAAGATCGTCCACACTCTTGCATTTCTGATCACCGTGCACAGGCGTAAAAGCTGGACAGTTTGAGAAAGGGGACAGGAAAAATATTGGTTTGCTTGAAATGTGGGGCTGGAGGACAGCTTTCAGGATACAGTCGTGCCTCGTGACGAGGAATGTCAGAAAAGCTCATCCCATGTATGGAGGCGTCGCTGGAGACGAAAGCCAAGATCGTCCACACTCTTGCATTTCTGATCACCGTGCACAGGCGTAAAAGCTGGACAGTTTGAGAAAGGGGACAGGAAAAATATTGGTTTGCTTGAAATGTGGGGCTGGAGGACAGCTTTCAGGATACAGTCGTGCCTTGCTTTACAATTGCTCCGCATTACAACGAAACCACATTACGACGATTGTCTAAATGGGTTTTTTTCGCTTTGCGATGATCGGTTCCCTGCTTCGGGAACCGATTCTTCGCAAAACAACCTTTTTTAAACAGCTGATCGGCAGTTTCAAAATGGCCACTGGGTAAACAAAATGGCTCCCCACTGTTTTCTGGGACGGATTCCTCGCAAGACA